CTAGGCTACGTGGGATCTCTAGAACTTGAATACGCTATCTGGTGGTTAAATTCAAAATTATAGTAGATAGGTCGAATTTCTACGCCACGCCTCAGCCAGAGATCCCAATACGATAGGTGGTACAGCATTATAATTTTATAAATTTTAAGCTTTTAAGGTTACAAATATCTTTTTCTATTTTTTTATTTTTTTTTTAGAAAAAATAATTTTAGGTTATTTATGTTTCAAGAGAAATAAGGAAAAAGATAATTAAAAGATAGCAAAAGGATTAATTTATATATGCATAAGTAAAATAATAAAAATTTGAAATGTAAATCTAATTGGGTAAGTAGAAATCTTAATGGGAATTTGTTACTAATTTTGTTATTATTATTATTATTATTATTATTATTATTATTATTATTATTATTGTTATTATTATTATTATTATTATTATTATTATTATTGTTATTATTATTATTATTATTATTATTATTATTATTATTATTATTATTGTTTTTCTTTTAAGTAGATTTCTTTTAAAAGATAAAAAAAAATGAAAAGATAATCAAAAGGGTTAGTTTATTTTCGAAAGATTATCATTTTGACATAAATAAGACAGAAGAAAATATCAAACGAATGTATGTATGTATGTATGTATATATATATATATGTATATGTTTAAGTACACACTATTATATACTACATCCTTTTGAATTTAGCGAGAGAACGAACTTTCCACCCTTTTTCTTTTATATTTCAAACGTGTATAAGTGGAAGAAGAGAACTTAAAAGAGAGTCAAGGAGGAGTTCGATAGGGGTGTCGTTTCTTTTTTTTTTTCTTTTTCTTCTACTTCTACTTCTTCTTCTTCTTCTTTTTTTTATTATTTTTAAATTAAAGAGACTAACACCTACGAGTTGATTAGTACCATTCTCTTCTCCTCGTGTATGGTGCTTGATATTCAAAGAGAAATAAAATATAAGATAAAGTATGAAAAAGAAGAAAAAGAAGAAGAAGAAGAAAAAGAAGAAGAAGAAAAATAAGTAACTCGATTAAGTAATAAATTTGATGATGAAATCTACAACTGCAATGACTATACACACACACACACACACACGTTATCAATCGTGTTGTCGATACATACGTATAAATCAAACGTTTTTATACATTAAAAAGTATACTAAAATAATGATACTCTAAAATGATGATACCAATTATGTTTTTACATGTATTGTATCACCTTTTTTCTTTTTTTGTTTAACAAGATTGATCTAAATTCTAAATTGTAGTTTAAGAAGAGAATTTTCTTTTTCATAAACTTATAATTTTTTAACGTATTATTTTTACTAATTTCTCAGGAATATTTATATTTTTTCGATAAATATATAATATACTATATATATAAATAAATATAATATAAATTACAAATACAATTTATAAATATATTTAGTATATATATATATATATTAAATAATAAAACTAAATAATTATAACTAACTATAAATAAAACTATATATATATATATATACTATATACTAACTATAACAATAACTAAATATTGTATATATATAATATTATATAATTATATAATACATATAATATTTTATATAATTATATATATATATATATTATATAATTATATAAATATAAATATATATTATATTATATTTATTTATTTATATTATATTATATTATATTATATTATATTATATTATATTATATTATATTATATTATATTATATTATATTATATAATTANTATTTATTTATATTATATTATATTATATTATATTATATTATATTATATTATATTATATTATATTATATTATATTATATTATATAATTATATAAATATAAATATATATTATATTATATTTATTATATTAATTATATTAAATTAATTATATTATATTTATTATATTTATATTAAATTAATTATATTATATTTATATTATATATATATATATTATAATTAAATAATAATAATAATTATATATAATATATTAAATAAAATATATTATATGTATAATATATTAAATAAAATATATTATATGTATAATATATATTATTAATTATTTTAATATATATATATATATTAAATAATAAATATATAAATAATATAATAAATATATATATAAAACGAATGAATCTCTTTATATAATATTTAATGGAATACTTTCCTCGAGTTTGCGAATCGAAAAAAAAAAAAAAAAAAAAAAAAAAAAAAAAAAAAAAAACAAGAGATGAAAACTAAAACATCATCAACGATAAGGTAAAAGTATAAAGAAAGAAAAAGAAAAAAGAAAAAAAGAACCTAGAAATAAAAATTCCCCTATCGTACGTGACTAGCGATTAAAAAAAATAAATAAAAAGGTTAGAGGGGTATTTTTCTACCGAATATTTCTCACCATTTTTTTTTCTCTCTCTTACTTTTATTTTTTTTTTTTACGCAAAAGATGAAAAACCAAATAAAAAAAAAACACTTGAGAAATTTGGACACGTTTTGAACGTTGAAGACTGAAGGATGGTGGAGAGGAGGTGAGATGATGAAAGGGGTGTAAGACAGTTATTGTTTAAACGTTAAGTCAATGATAAATCGTTGACAACATCCTATAGGAGGAAGGTTTCTCATTCTGGATTCCGTATTCGACATTTATCGTATGAATAACTGACCAGTTGTCTGACTATAGTCGAGGTATCATTACACATGGTACTACAGAGTTGAAAGGAAAAGGGGTAAGGGTAAGGGTAAGAGTAAGGGTAAGAGTAAGGGTAAGAGTAAGAGTAGGGTTAGGGTAGAAGAACAAAGAGGTATATCGTCTAGCAGACAACCAACCAAGCAACCAAGCAAGCAACCAAGCAACCAACCAAGCAACCAACCAAGCCGATCGAGGGAAAGGAGTTCTCCTCCTTTAGGTCATTTATCCTCCAACCAGGTGGACAAAATGGAGAATCGTTTGACCTTTCGTAGAACGTCATAAATCGTACCACGATTCATACTAGCCCCTTAACGTAAGACGAACTATATCTTTCTCTTTCTTTCTTTTTTTCTTTCTTTCTTTCTTTCTTTCTTTCTTTCTCTTTGTCTTTGATTTCAAACTGTTACTGTCTCTTCGTTGTGTCTGTCATCAAATTGGTTCTTTTTAGTGTGTGTCTAAGAGAATAGTCTATGTATAAAGTCGTTCGTCTTTTGTGGTGGTAGTAGTAG